CTCCTCGCAAAACAGTGTTGGAGAATGATTATCAACCCAGACTCTATTTGTGCTAAGATCTTGAAGGCAAAGTATTTTCCAAACACTGATTTGTTGCATGCAGGCTCGAAAAATGGTTCCTCTGTTACATGGCAGAGCATTGTCGCTGGCTTGACTACCTTTAAAAGAGGGTATATTTGGCGAATAGGCTTGGGGGAGAATGTGAATATTTGGGAAGATCCGTGGATCCCCTCAAGTCCTGACAGGAAAGTGTTAACCCCGCGGGGCCATACAATTATATCAAGAGTTGTTGAGCTTATTGATCCAGTTACCACACAGTGGGATGACCAGTTGATTTGTGATATATTCTATCCAGTGGATGCCAACAGAATTTTACAAATACCAATCAATTTCCAGGCTTTCGATGATTTTATTGCATGGCACCTGACTAAGCATGGAAAATTTTCAGTTAGAACTGCTTATGTGGAACAATGGACACACAAGTACATGGGTCATTCTCTTGAAGAGTTGACGTCCAGCAGTGCTAAGTATTCATTGATTTGGAAGCAGCTATGGAGTTTACAAGTGCCAAGGAAAATTCAAATATTATGCTGGCGAGCGCTATGTGGAATCATTCCATTAAAATCCATACTCGCTAATAGACACATCGCTATTAGTGGAGAATGTCCGATCTGTCATAGGGGGGCTGAGGATATGAGACATATGCTCTTCCAGTGTGACATCGCAAGAAAACTATGGTCGGGGCTGGGACAGATGGACCGCATAAACCATGCTGTGCTAGTGGACAGATCGGGATCTGCAATCCTTGAATATCTTTTTCTGGAACCTGACTCGCCCTTGGATATCATGCCAAGTTTAAATTTTAAGGAGGTAATTGCAGCAGGGTGTTGGTACATCTGGTGGTTATGGAGACAGCATACTCATCACGATTCATGTCCCCCTGCGTCCAGGTGGACCGCCTCAATTCTGGCGATTGTTGGAAACTATGTAAAATCTGTGAACAAGAAGCGGGATGGTTCAGCACAAATGGAAGAAACCTGAAGCGAGATTTATTAAGTTGAACGTTGATGCGTCCTATCATGCAGACGAGGGATCAGGTGCAACTGCAGCAGTCCTAAGAGATGAAAAAGGACGATTCATAGTGGCTCAATGCAAATTTATTCAGTACGCAGCAGACGCAGCTACAACTGAAGCCATGGCAATGCGGGACGGGTTAAACTTGGCAATTACCTTGGGTTGTAACAGAGTGGAAGCGCGGTCTGACTCGCTTAATGTGGTGAACTGTTGTCAAGGACAACAACAATGGTGGGATGCGGCTGCTGCCATTTTTGCAGAATGCACGGACGCGGCTACGTCGATAGGAAAGGTCATCTTTAGTCATTGTTTTCGTGAAGCAAATTCAACAGCTCATGAGTTAGCTAAATTTAGCTTTTGTAATAAGTGTGATAATAGTTGGACCGAGGAACCACCGGGGTTCTTGATCAGCCCGCTAGTAAACGATGTACTTGTTGTTTGATTTAATTTAATAAAGCTACCCATAATGGCCTTTCCTAAAAAAAAATGAGCGACATGCCCTCCAAGCAAGCAGCAAGCTCAGTTTTCAGTGCATTATTGCATGTGTACAGGAATCTGCATGAAGAAAAGACGATGACTCCTCTCTCAAGGATAAAATTAGTTGAAAATTCATATCTGAACCAAATTCATGCTTAGATAAAATTAGTTGATACATATTGAATTGAGAGTACTGTAAAAGATCTTGACATTTAAAAGAAGCAAAAAAAATCTCATGTAGGCAAATACTGGTGCTACCTCTAAGACCAACACCTATAAACATCGAGGTTGACCACAAGTGTGGAGTGGAGTGGACTAAGCGTCGAGGTGTAACATGTAAAATGTAATGTCACATCAGTGGAGAGTTCTGTATGCCTTTTCCCTCTCTTTATAAAATGATACACATGCTATGTGTAATCGAAAAAAAGAGACCAACACCTATAAACACATAGCGGCTCTGTTGTCTCCACGTAGGCGAATGTGTGCCTATTGAGGATTATCCTTCCCCAACTTTTCTCATGGATCTCTTCCACACCGTTATCGTTGCTCAACTTGTGTTTACTCACGACATCCCTAATGAGATGACAGGACATCGGCAATGAGTGTGGCGGTATGTCCGACTCCACTATGTACAACCGGCTCCATGTGTGCTCTTTCATTGTCAACGCGTCCTCTAGAACCCACACCTGCACACGTAACTCAAACAAATTTAAAGATGCAATACTTCCATATGAACAAACAAATTCAATAGACTGCCCACTCTTTACACGATAATGAAGAGTGCAGAACTTAAGTGAACAATGTAATTTTCTTATCCAATGGAAAAATTCAATTACCCAGGTTTTGCTACTTATTCTTAAGCCTCGATCAATTTAGAAAGGATCGGCTTTAATTTAGTAAATTAATGTTACACGATACACTTTTTCTAAACATAATTTCCCCTTTCTGAATTGATTGGGACATAAGCCTACTTAGGCATAGACCGATCCTAAGTTTATAATAATTCTGTAAATACATACCTCGGACTTTTCAGCCGGCGAGAGAGAATAGAGGATCGCCAACCTCGCCCGCACCTCCGTCAGATGCCAGCCGTCAGACGGCGCATCCGGTGGCGACTTGATGAAGCTGAGGCGCTCGTGGCCGAGGTCGAACGCCATGAGCTTCTTCCCCTTCTTGGCGGCCCAGTACATGGTGCCGTCGACGCCCACGATGCCGGCGCTGTAATTGCATCTCGGGAGAGAGCCCGTGGCAACGTCCCGCCATGACGACTCCCCCAACGTGAACACCTTCAACTGCTGCAAGCTTCCTCTCTTAGCGTATGCGTCCACATGCACGATCTTGTACCGCCCGGCCGTGGGGTGGTACCCGAAGCCGTACGCCTCGTGCCAGCCTACGAGGCAGGTCCTTTCCGGGGCGGACGGCAGCGGCGGGAGGGACAGCCTCTCGCCGGTGACCGGGTTGACCAGAGTGATGGCGGTGTCGGACATCCGCTTGTCGCGGAGGCAGATCAGGCCGTTGCAGGTGCCGACCACCATCGGCATCGTGCCTTCGCGGGGGCCAGGGCGGGCGTTGGCGTCGTTGTTTTTCCAAAGATATCTTCCGGGGCTCCCTGTTGATGTTGATGGATCGTCCACGATGTACGCGGAGCCCTCGCCGGTGCCGACGAGAAGCTTGGCGCAGCTCTGCATCTTGGCCGTGCGCGTGTCCACGACGTCGCGCCAGTGCCGGCAGACCAGGCGGGTCAGCCGCCGGGTGCTCGGAGGGAGCCGCAGGACGATGTTCACGAGCACGTCCGAGGACAATTCCCGTGGCATCCTTACCTTGATCGCCTGCGCTAGCTAGCCAGATGCGACTTCGCCTCCCCTGCCTGTTGCGATCTCCCGATCGATCGCCAATAATACCCGGAGTACTGGTTTTTTTAGGGGACCGGGAGTACTAGTTGCCAAGTATACAGATTTATTTAGGGTTTCCTTCAATGGTCGTCCCATATGAACTCCCAATAACACACACAAATTCCAAACGGTGAACTGCTGGGTTAAGTTGTTTTTTTTTTTTGCCAAAAAAGTTGTTTTTTTATCTGCAATTTGGGTTTCCCTTCCATGGAACGGTGGCTGTGATTTTTCTCCAATGCATGCTATGGTCTTCGGCTAACGTGAGGAGAAAATCAGCCGTCTCCTGATTTATTAGATTTCATTCATGAACGTGAGACGTCCGATTGGCGAGCCACCCCCAGCCGTATCAAAACGTTTGCAACACGAGCCTTGTTGTCACTGCAACATAGGCAATACTGCAACCGCCAACGATCCCTGCAACAAAGCGATGTTGCAAACCCCGTCGCCACTCATCGCGCACCTCAGTACCAATGTTCTTAGCGACTAGCACGACAACAACAAAGGTGCCAGTGGGAGGCCGATGGAGGTAGCACGGCGGACTAGCTTGGTGCGCCATGCCACGGTGACAGTTGGTTGGTAGACGCGGAGTTCATACATGGTCATAACATCTGTACTATCCTATAAAAAAAATCAGCGACGAATTATACATATAGTGTTATTATTCATCACCCAGGGTACAGAATAAGTTATTCTTCATCCAGGTAATCTTACAATCATTTCGTAATTAAATTACATTTTGAATTCAAATATTTACATTCCTATTGATTCACTACGTAAAATTTGACATAAGAAAATAAAAATATAAGTCATAAGACAAGAAAATTTGCAGTTTATGTGTATTTTAGACTATGTTTTACGTTTGTAATTTTATATAACATAAAATATTTTCTACGGCAATTATATTTTCTTTACGGTCTCTTTTTGCGTCGGAAATAAAAAAACTTATGAAACGTAAAATTACGATGCATTGATGGTAAAATAGAGGGGGAGTGAAGAATAACTGTTCCTCACGCAGGGTGACGAATATCACGACCCAGGGTGAAGAATAACTTATTCCTCACCCCGGTTGAACGACCAAGCCAGAGAATTGGGTTGTCTTGAATCGCACCCCACCCCACCGATGGGCGGTGTCCCGTAAGATTTGTCCTTCTGGAGGTAAATTTACTGATCCTGACACGTGAACGGGTCAATATTTTTTTTTCTCCCTTGGCATCAACGTCATTTTATTTGCTAACCGTTTAGGGGATATAGCTCACGTTCCCGTGATTTTCTAATCGGATTAGAACGGTTTCATGTTTTGGAAAATCTGTTCGCGACGGCGAAGAGCACGAGGTGAAAGGCGGCGTGGTGACGGGGGTCTTTGCTCGGCGGCAAGTCACCGGCGGTGCTCACCGATAGTCAGGCGGTGAGCGGTTTCGGAGGCGAGCTGCCAGAGCCTCCGGGGCGGCGGCGGTGAGCGGGCGGCAACCATGGTGTTCGGCGGCCTCGGCGTAAGGAAACCACCGCGGGTGGCCTCTGTTAGACTAGGTATATTGTAGATATACATGTTGTAACACAATACATGTACCTGTACGTTCTGTCCTATATGTACATAACAGTCGTACCCGCTTAAGGTATCGAGCATTGTTCAAACTCTAATTTTGTCTAACATGATATCAGTCGATGCGTTCGATCCGCGCCGTGCTTCCGCTTCCTCTTCCGCCGCCGTGCCGCCTCCGTCAACCCTGGCGACGAAGTCGCCGTTCATGGCGTCAACCCCGCTTGCCTGGGCCCGTCCGGCCGCATTAGGATAGCGCCCTCCATCGCCCCGATCGCCCGCTGCCCAGCCGCCGCTCGTTCGTGATGAGTTGCCTCGCGATCGCATGCAGCATGGCTTGCCTCGCGATCCATCACACTACTACAATCGCATGCAACTGCCTCACGATCCAGCCTCCGCTCGCCCGTATGGCGGAGTTGTTGATGTGTCTGCGCAGCGCGATGCTTCTTACGGCGGGATTCCATCGCACGCTGCGTCGCCGCCTTACGTCGGGATTCCATCGCATGTTGCGCCGCCGTCTCCCAGTCCCCATGGTGCCTCTGTCCAGGTGCCCTACGGCGGGCCGTATCCAGCGCCATACGTCGCGCCGCCGCCGTCATCGTCCGTCGCGCCGCCGCCGTATGCTTCATCCTCCACGGTGCCCTACGAGGCGCCGTATGGCGCGCCTTACACTGCCTCTGTGCCGTACGTCGCGTCGCTGCAACCCTACGGCGTACCTCCTACGGCGCCCTATGGTCATCACCAACACTACCGTGCGCCTCCGTCAGCCGATGTGCTGATTCTGTACATTACTCCTCCGACGTACGAATCGCAGCTCCCCGCACCGGTGGCTGAACCAGGACCGTTCGACTTCGCTCATCTGGTGACGGTGAAGCTCTCTGCTGATAACTACCTCATGTGGCATGCTCAGGTGTTGCCGCTGATGCGCGGTCACTACCTTGAGGGGTATGTCGACGGTATGCTGCCGTGTCCCCCGGCCATGGTTCCGGTTCCCTCGGCTGCTGGTGGCTCCGTCATGGTGTCCAACCCTGCTCATCGTCGGTGGATTGATCAGGATCAAGCTATTTTGGGTGCCATTCAGTCCTCGCTCACTCCCTCCATGGCCGGCATGGTGGTCTTTGCCGCGGCGTCGAGGGATGCATGGGCCACGCTCGACTCCATCTTCTCCTCGCAGTCGCTGGCACGTTCCTCTGCCATTCGTAACCAGCTGGGTGAGGTCAAGAAAAATGATCTCTCCGTCACGACCTTCTTCAACAAGGTCAAAAGTTTGGCTGATACACTGTCATCTATTGGGAAACCTCTCCGTGACGAGGAGTTTACTTCATTTATTCTCAATGGGCTTGATGAGGACTATGACTCTCTTGTTGAAAACATCAATGGACGTGGCACGCCGATGCCGCCTCGCGACCTCTACGCGCGCCTCCTCAACACCGAACAGCGGCTAGCTGCTCGCCGCTCCATTGGAGTCTACACGGAGGGCCCGTTTGCGAACGCTGCTCTCCGCGGGGGTGCCCGTGGTGCTAAGCAGAAACCGCCTCCATCCTCGGGCAACCAGCCCCGTCCGCCCGCTTCAGCTCCTCCAACGGCCGGCCGCAAGCAGCTCCACTGCGAGGCGTGTGGCGGTGGGGTGGAGTGTCAGCTTTGCGGCATTGAGGGACACTTGGCGTCTCGGTGCCATCGTCGGTTTAAACGTGACTTCCTTGGCATTGGGAACAATGGGAAGGGTAACGAGAAGCAAGCTGCTCTCGTCACACAGGAGCCTGGGTTCACTCCTTCATATTTTGTGGATCCTGCCTGGTACATGGACACAGGCGCAACGGATCACCTGACGAGCCAGCTTGACAAGTTGGCTACTCGCCAGCCCTACACCGGTCATGATCAGGTCCGCACTGCCAATGGATCAGGTATGCCCATCTCACATGTTGGTCAGACATCTCTTCTTTCGCGTACCACTAAAACTTTGTGTCTCCTTGATGTCCTTCGTGTTCCTTCAGTCACACGTAATTTACTCTCAGTTCCTAAATTGACGTATGACAACAATGTGTTTGTTGAGTTTCACCCTTTCCATTTTTTTGTTAAGGACCGGGACACGAGGACCGTTCTACTTAGTGGTCGAGCTCGCGACGGCTTATATGCGCTCGATGTACCACGAGCGCTTGATGTACCACGGGTATCTCAAGTTTTTAGTGGTGTTCAAGTGTCGTCGTCACAGTGGCATTCCCCTGCCTGTTAAGATCTCCCGATCGATCACCAATAATACCCAGAGTACTTGTTTTTTTAGGGGACCGGGAGTACTAGTTGCCAAGTATACAGTTTTAGGGTTCCTTCAATGGTCGTCCCATATGAACTCCCAATAACACACACAAATTCCAAACGGGTGAACTGCTGGGTTAAGTTGTTTTTTTTTTTTGCCAAAGAAGTTGTTTTTTTATCTACAATTTGGGTTTCACTTCCATGGAACAGTGGCTGTGATTTTTCTCCAGTGCGCGCTATGGTTGTCGGCTAACGTGAGGAGAAAATCAGCCGTCTCCTGATTTATTAGATTTCATGAACGTGAGACGTCCGATCGGCGAGCCACCGCCAGCCGTATCAGAACGTTTGCAACACGAGCCTTGTTGCCACTGCAGCATAGGCAATACTGCAACCGCCAACGATCCCTGCAACAAAGCGATGTTGCAAACCCCGTCGCCACCCATTGCGCACCTCAGTAGCAATGTTCTTAGCGACTAGCACGGCAACAACAAAGGTGCCAGTGGAAGGCCGATGGAGGTAGCACGGCGGACTAGCTTGGTGGCAAGGCTATAACATGCGCCATGCTGCAGTGAGAGTCGATTGGTAGACGCGGAGTTCATACATGGTCATAACATCTGTACTATCCTAAAAAAAATCAGCGACGAATGATATGTATACTTTGACCCCCTCTAGCAGTACAAGGAACGGCCGATAGTCGCCAGTACATAACACAAGTGAAGTTCCCCGCATCGCTCCGCTCGGGGCGACTCGGGTGGCGACGAAAACCCTAGCCGCCGCCCCCCTCCCCCCCTCCTCCCTCCCTCGCCGCCGCCCGAGGAGGCCTCCGGCGAAGCCCGCGTGGTCGCCTAGGACGGCGGCGGCGAGGATCTGGCTGCTTCGCTCCTCGCGGAGGGCTTCGGGCGCCGAGGCAGCGGCCTCGGGTGGTGCGGCGGCGCCGTTTCTGCGGCGAGCGGCGTCGTGGGTGTTGCCCCCCGTCTCCTTGGTCGCGAGGGCGGCGAGTGACGGCGGGCGCTGGCGCCGGTCGCAGCGGGGGCGCGGCCCCTGTTCGCGCCTAGATCTGAAGGCGGCTCCCACTTCCCCTTAGAGCGCTCCTCCTCGCCGGATCTGGTCGTCGGTGGCCTCAAGACGCCGG